ATGAATTGTATGAACCCCAATAAAATGATTAAAAAAAAAGAACTGTTGCAACTAAAGGAAGCAGTTCCTAACGACACTGAAGGCATTATTTAAAAAAACAAAAACCAAGGCTCCAGGGACGGCCGATACCAATTAGATAGTTCAACAAGCTGATGAAGCACTGTGAGCACTCACTAGTCTATGCCAAGAAATCCAGAAGATAGCTACCTGGCTGACTCACTGAGAGAATTCCATGTTTGCACCCATTCCAAAGAAATGTGACCCAATGGGGCGTAGACATTATCAAGTCATTAAGACCACATGCAAGTAAAGTGTTACTGAAGATGACTTTTAAATGGTTGCAACAGCCTATCAACAGGGAGCTGCCGGAAATTCAAGCCAGGTTCAGAAGACATGGCACAAGAGGTATCACTGCTGATGTTAGGTGGATTGTGGCAGAGAGCAGGAGACCAGAAAAATGTTTGCTTACGTTTTATTGACTATGCAAAGGCATTCAACTATGTGAATCATAACAAACTATAGATAACGTGAAAAGAATTAGAATTCTAGAATATTTCATTGAGTTCCTGCAGAACCTGCAGACAGACTGTCATTGAGACAGTAAGGAAATGATGCCTGGTTTAAAAACAGGACAAGGAGCCCTGGTGGTGTAGTGGTTACATATTGGGCTATGAGCTAAAATGGTGTGCAACTCGACACTACCAGCTGCCCCGTGGAAGAAAGGCTGGGTTTTCTACTCCTGTAAACAGTTCCAGTCTCCGAAAGCCCCGGGGTTGCTTTGAGTCAGCATTGACTGAATAGCAGTGAGTTTGGAGTTTTGGTGTCAGGAACAGGAGAGTTGTGCCAGACCTGTATGGTTTCACCATACTGCTTCAATCTCTGCGAAGAAGCTGGACTACATGAAAAAGAATGTGGCATCAGGATTGGAGAAAGGGTCACCAACAACTTGTGATATACAGCTATGACATTACGGCCTTGTTTGCTGAAATCAAAGAGGACTTGGAGCACGTGGTGAAGATCAAGGACTCCCTCTTGGTCAAGGTTCAAAGGAGTCTGTCTTGAAAGAAGTACAACCCGAATGCTCCTTAGAAGCAAAGATGCAAATCTTTGGACATGTTATCAGGGAGACCAGACCCTGGAAAAGGACATCATGCTTGGTAGACAGGGAAAACGAAGATGACCTTCATTGTTGACACAGTGGCATCACCAATGGGGTTAAGCATAACAACCGATGTGAGGAAGGTGCAGGGCTGGGCAGTGTTTCATTCTGTTGTACACAGGGTCTCTGCGAGCCCGATCATGAAAGAGCATGTAAAAACTACCTACGGAGTTTGGATTGGGATTTTGTTGCTGTTGTTGTTGTTGTTTTAAAATCATTTTACTGGGGCTCATACAGCGCTTATCACCATCCATCCATCCATTGTGTCAAGCACATTTGTCCATATGTTGTCATCATCGTTTTCAAAACATTTTCTTTCTATTTGAGCCTTTGGTATCAGCTCCTCATGTTTTTCTCCCTCCCCCTCCTCTCACTAAGTTTTAAATATATGAGACGCTTCCCCCTGCAACCACAATTCATTTTCCCCAGGTAGCCATTTCATTCTCACCCAATAAATATTTGTTTATTCTATAAGTTATCTTCTATAAGTTTCTGACTTCTAGGAATCCACTTACATTTTATTCTAGTAGGAGGAAGCAGATAATAAACTAAATATCTCGCATGAGAAATAGAGATGTGCAAAAGCAGAGTAAGGAGGACAAGAAAGAAGTATGGGAAGATACAGCGATGGTGGTAAGGCTTGCTAGGTAATGGAGTTCCGAGGTAGTGCAAATCATTACTATACCGTAGGCAGGAAAGCCTTTCATCAAAAGCAACGTTTGAGCAGAGACCTGAAGGAGGCGAGCCGGCCTCAAGGAGAGCTGAGCAAGCAGCAAGAGTCTCCTGGAGCTGAAGCGGATGAGCAGCGTGGGAAGTGGTAGAAGATGAAGTGAGAACATGGGGGTGGGGTGACTGTAGAGCAGGCTATGTAGAACTTTCTCACATACTGTGGGGTTAAGGATAAGAGGGAACCCCACAAAACATCACAGGTTTGGTAGGCGCAATTGTACAGCGATAATAAGTAGAGATTAT